AAGGTTTTGAAAATATGAAAGTTGTATGTTTGAAGTTATATGTATATGCTTGAGGTTTTGAAAATCTAAATTTTTTATTCAAAGTTGTATGTATATGCTCAAGGTTTTGGAGTTTTATGATCTAATTTTAGGTATTAATATGTAAATACATAGAAAAATTTGAAACTTTTATAGTAAAATTCAAGTATTAGATATGTAAATACATTGAAAATTTGTAAATATGAAATATGAAATTTGAGCTTAAGTGAAAATTTGAAATTCAATATATGAGTTCAAATGTTGGATATGAAAATACAACCAAAACTCATAAAATCTAAAATTTTGCATATGAGTTCTAAATGTTAGATTTGTAAATACACAAAAAGCTCAGAAAATCTAAAATATAATGAAAACTTTCAAAATTATAATAGTTTAGCGTATGAATACAAACTATTACAAAAATTGATCACACAAACACGCACACACAACCACACACACACACACACACACACACACACACATATTAAGTGTATGTGTGCATGATTTCCCGATTTACACATTTGTTTTAAAGACGAAAACACGAAATCTACACACGTATACATTTGCTTTAGGATAAAGAAAGCAAAATATACATGTATGCATTTGTTTAAATAAAAAAAAAACAAAACACAAAAACCAAAATCTACACATATATACATTTGTTTTAGAATAAGAAAATCAATATATATATATATATGTATATATATTTGTTTTAAAGACAAAGAAGCTAAAATCCACAGATGTGTACATTTGCTTTAGGATAAAAAAACCAAAATTTACATGTATGCATTTGTTTTAAAGCCTGTACATGTATGGATTTGCCTTAGGATAAAGAAACCAACATATACATTCATATATATGCCCTAAGTGTTATATATTTATACACATTGAAAATCTAAAACTAATCAAACCTTCATTCAGGATTTATGTATTAGATATGTAAATGCTTTGAGAATTTTTTATAAAAAATATGAAAGTATATATTTGGATCTATAGAAAATCTGAAAATTTATGTTTACATGTATGTGTTAGATATGTAAATACATAAGAATTGGGTAGTATGTATATAAATCTTCCTAAAGTTGAATCATTGAATCAATACTAGCTCTAGACAACAATGATTTATGCTGATTTTGATGTAATGAGACTGAAAGAATTGATGGTTTTCCATAGCCAAAGCAGACTTTTTGAGTGGCAAAATTTGTGCTAATTGATCAATCAAGTTGGGATGATCTTTCATTAGTGAGCATGAGGGGAATGTTTTTGCATGTTTTGCTCAAATTTATGTGGGATTGAGGGCTATTTTGGGGATTGCTTAGTGGTCAAACTTAAGCATGTTTTAACAAAATATGAAGATCATTTTCTAGTTGCAAATTCCAATCAATATTTATGCAAGACTTAACCACATTTTAAATCTCAACACAAAAAACTAATCGGACAAAAAAAAAACTCAGGCCTTATTAACACAAGACAATGGGAAACAAAAAATATAATCAATTAAACCTTGCAACCTCAAAGTATGCTGTGAAATAAGAGGATAAAAGAATGATGTGAGGGACTACTATATGTGAAATGGTAATGGGTTGTGTGTGTTTCTTTATAAATAAGAATCAAAGTACAAGACGAAGGCATGAAGTGAGGGTAGTGGAGTGATGTTCTCAGCTTACTCCTATTTGGTTTGCTCATGCTCCACCTCATTGGTTACACCTTCATGAATAGGAAAAGAAATGGAAGAAATACTGCGAACAAGAATTAGGTGGTGCAAAATCCCTTTAGGGCCTTGAAAGGAGAGGGCTCACTTGGGAAGAATGGGGCTTGCGAATGGGAGAGAGGTGCAAAACTCCTTGAGGGTTTTCAAAGGAGAGGGCTTAGTTGAGAGGAATGGGGCTTGCAGATAAGTGAGGTGTCTTCTATTTGTTGGCTGGGAATGAGTGAAATAGGGACAAAAACAACATTTATTCTATTTTACTTTACTTTTTTTTCATGAGTGGATTTTTGGGTTTATCCTTAATTCCCTTGAATTTAAGATGGACTTCGTTTGACTTTGTTGAGGACTTGATTTACATGAATGAGGGTGGTTTTTCATGTCCAAATATGTGTGTGAGCATGGTTTTAAGGCTTGGTTATTTGGGTAGATTGATTTGGATTTGACTTGGAAAGATTTAGTTTTGTTATGAGGTGACTAAAAATGGCTTGATGTGGACTTATCGTGAGGTGAGTTTTGGCTTGGATTTGGCTTGCAATGAAGTTTGGTTTTGGCTCGGTGGCTTGACATGATGGATCGACATTATGGTTTGACTTGGCTTGTCATAAGGTAGGCTTAAGTTTTGGTTTGGTTTGATTTGGATTTAAATTTGAAATTTGGTGGATTTAGAATTAATGAAAATTGGTTATTTAATGGTTTGTTATTTTATTATATTTTGAATTTGATTTTTATCTTATTAATTTATTTTTCCTTTGTAATTTTGGATTTGATGGAGATTTTGGTGAGTTTGATTTGATATGAATTTTTTATTTGAGTTTGTGGTTTCCGTGAATTTATTTTTATTTGATTTTGACTTTGATTTCATTTTAATTTTGATTTAATGATTTTAGTGAATTTGATTTTGGGTTTTAATTTTTATTTTGATTTGATGAGTTTGTTTTAATTTTTATTTTATTTTGAAATTTTAATGCATTTTGATTTTAATTTAAAGTTTTGGTTAATTTTATGATTCATTTGAATTTGATTTTCATTGATTTAAATTTTGGTTGATTTAATAATTTTGGTGAATTTTGATTCTATTTGACTTTAATTTTATTTTGTGATTGGTGATTTTCATTTTATGATTTTATTAATTTTGATTTTACTTTATATTTTAATTTGTTATTTAAATTTTATGATTTTATTGAATTTTTATTTTACTTTATGTTTTTAATTTGTGATTTTCGTATGTGATTTTCATTAAATTTGATTTTGTTTAATTTTAAATTTATTTGTTTTTTAAACATCATTTGACGATTTTTATTTTATACCTACTCTTCCTATCTTAGTTCAAGAAGAGTCTTACACCCAAAGTGCTCTTTATGAACCAAAGAAATAGTTATCCAATAAGTTAGAAAAAAGAAATGCAAAGTGCACAATGAAAGAGACCAAATATGAGACATAAGCCCTTATGGTGGAATGATAACTTAAGGCATTTCAAGTCTATAGGAACTCAACTTAAGATTCAATCACTTTACTTTAATCTTTTCAACCAATGGTTAAGAATTTGAAGTTAAGTGTATGAAACTATAAAGGGTGAAGATGTGCCTGAAGTCCCAGCTTGATATTAGTTCTACTACTAGTCTTCTGTCAGAGCTATTGAGTAAGCCCTAAGAATAGATCCTAAGTTCTAGAGATAGAACATTCTAGACCTTGTGTAAAAATGAGGTCAACAGGATGTAATATGTGAAGTTATATGTTTGTCCCTATGAGGTCAACAAGGTGCAATATGTAAAGTTACATGTTTGTCCCTACTTTAATGTGGGCATTACTAGATATTTTAGGTATTTTACGTATGTTAGTCGTGTCTCAACTGCATTCAGACTTTGTTAAGATGGGTAGGCCTTGGTTTAGTAAAGCCAGCTCGGTCCACTGTGTCTGAGTTGCCGTAGCCAGTCAGTTGATCCTATCAGATTTTGGGTCAACAGGACTTCTTTGGTTGGTCAGATGTTGATTATCGACCAAGCTAGTTTGATTATTGACCCTTGATCTCTAGATGAGGAGCTTCTGTAGGCATAATAAGACTCGGATATCGAGCAGAGGGTGAATCATCGTAACCCGATAAAAAACTCATTCCTTGATGAGGGGGTTCTTCATGAAATTTTGTGGGCTATGTTATTGTTGATTCTTGGCCCCTGATAAGAAACCTCAGAGGTGTCTATAAGACTGCTTGTGATATTGAATTCATTCCTTGAGTTTGGTTGCACGATAAGTAGTTCGATGCATTTGCATGACTCGATTAACCTTAGTCCTTGGTTTCGGTGGTTTAAACTCAGTTAACACCCAAACTCGGTTCAGTGGGGTTACATCTGGTCAAATAAGTGGATCATTTGGTCTTCCGTGAGTGGACCCTCATTCATTGTACTTCCTTTTTTCTTGGTTGTGGGATCTTCTTGGGATTCGTGATGACACATTCTTGACGCATATATATTAGTAATTATTATTATTACATATATTTGTGTCTTATAATTTTAAAAATATATGTATCTACATTCATATCTTCCACATCTTACTATTCGTAATCGGGAACACAACAGAGCATATTACAAGTTAGCATAACATTACATAAAACCTCATACTCACATATGCTCACACATCTGCTTAAGGGGCAATATGGTAATAGATGAGATTGAAGTTAGTGAGATTTAGTAAATTCTGTAAATCCAGATTTAGTAAATATTGAAAGAGTTAAATCCTAAAAATTGTTTGAAAAAGTATTTAATAAATCCCATTAAATCCTGTGAAACTGTTTGACAATTTTTTTAAGATTTAAAAAAATGTTTTATTTGTTAGACTTTAACGACAAATCGTAATAGGATTTATTAAATGCTGTTAATTCAAATTTTTAAAACATTTCAAAATAGCCAAACCAGCTTCTTAAAGTCAATAATATTTTATTTCAAAATATGATAATTAATAATTATATAATTAATTAATTTATTAACAATTAGTATTTTTTAATGAATTAATTATTAAATACAAGTTGGATATATATAAAAGAATAATTAATTAGCTATTAAGTAAATTATTAATATTACTTTTAAATTTATTGAATGAATAAAGAAGTTATATTTATTTTTATTAACTAATGATTAAATAATAAATCATTAATTTAAGTGTAATAAATCTGATAATATTTTTATTAATTTTTAACTATTTATCAATTAAATTATAAAATTAACTTAAATAAACCTAAACTAAGGAAATTCACTTAAATAAAAATAATGAAAGGAATCGACATGCGTCAGCGAATGGGTACTCCTCGGCCATGCGTCGGCGAATGGCTACTCGGTGTCTGGTTGTTGGGAGTATATATCTCCAGATGCATATCGGAATGTGGAAGATAGGAAGCCGGAGCCGAAAGAGGAGAAATGGGGATGCCCCTGTTCCGATTGCCCCATCTCCGCCGCTTATTCTTCTCTCGAACCTCCCTCCTCCGGTTTAACCAAACGAGACTCCTCACTCAGCAGCAGGAAAGCCGCCTCGAAGAAGCTGGCCCTCTTGCCTGCCGCCTCGCTTCCCGTTCAGTGATACGATTTCGGGGCCCCGACACCGTCAAGTTCTTACAAGGCCTACTCACTAACGACGTCCTCCCTCTTGTGGACATCGGCCAAGGCGGCGATCGGAACTCATCCTTTTCTTCATCATCTGCCTCCTACTTGTCGACGGCTAATTTGTCTTTCCATTCTCCGTCGCCGAGATACGCGGCGTTGCTCACTCCTCAGGGTCGGTTCTTTCTTGATCTCTTCCTTTACCGGCTGCCGCTACCGGAGCAGAAGTTTGACAAGAGTGGGACCGGCCCGGGACCGCGAGAACAGGAGGAGGACCTCACTTTTCATGCGGATGTGGATGCTTCCATCTTGGATGAAATTTTGGATTGCTTCAGAAAGTAGGATCTTTGTTTCTAGCTTTAATTCTGTTTAATTTTTTTTAATTTCTTAAGCTGGTAAAAATTGTTTTTTATCATATAGAAAAGCTTGGTAATGCTGATGAGTTTCCTAATATTTTGCTTTCCTTATTAATATCCTTTCTGTTTCTTCACTGCTATTATTATTATTCTTGAAATTTTTGCTGCTTTATTTGATTTGTTGATCTTTACAATCTTCCTGTATTTCGAATGAAGCATTTGGGACATAAAGCTTTACAAATCGAGCAACATTCTAACTACTCTTAGAACTTTAGTTTTCCAAAAGCTCTGGTTAATAATTGGAGAGTGTTAGTTTGGTATTGTAGGAGAATGTTCGTTTAGCCTCAATGGAAGACTGCTGGTTTAGATTTTACTTTTAGAAATATGTAAATAAGAATTCAGCAGTACAAATATGTATAACTAAGAATTCAGCAGACCTAATGCAGTGAAACATTTGAAATTGTTATAAGTCCACACTAGAATAGAAAATAGTCACCCCTCGGAAATGAGCAAGAGTTGAGTTCCTACTATTTTAGTAGCACCCTTTGCTAGAAATATTTGGGAAAAAAAAATGTAGTTATGAATAATTTTGAAAACTTTTAGATATTAAAAAGGTATAAGAGAAGAACCAAAATTAAAAAATTCATGCTTTGTGTGCCTGAAACATTGTTGCTAAAACCAAGCTCTACTTAGATGTTTGTCTAGAAGGAAGTGAGCTCTCCTTTTATAAAGGAAACCCCCCTTGGGGCAAAGAAGATTAGAGTTTGATCACATACAAAAGGAGCTCAATTGCATATTTAAGTAGATTTTTAATCCTTGTTTCTAGGTAAATCAACAACAACCACTGGGTTATGCCTAATTAAAATTCCATTTTTTTTTTCTTCCTCTTGGGAGTATCCCTTGATCTCACTATGGTCTCACCCTGTCTTAAATTACTCGAGTTCATTGCTCTCCTCCCTAAATAAAATCTCATACATTTATCACTTCAAATTAAATTTATAAATCAACAACTTTTTTGATGCTTTCGTTGAGACTTATACATTGAGGGAAAGCAAAATCAATGAGCACAATAGGTTGAGTAACTCTCAATTTAGCAATATGAATTCTACTAATAAGGGACTGTTGATGTTACTTCACCCACAACTGAGTTTGCTGCTTAACCCCATTTTTGTGGATTGAACTCAATGTTTGAGATAAAGATAGGGATAATATCGACCCAAGGCGTTGCCATATTTGTTTCTAATAAACTTGTTTGTAGTTTTGTGATAGGCACCACTCTTCTGCCATTTGTGGAGCTCGATGTCATTCACATTGAAGGAGTTTGAGTGGCTCACTAGTACCCGATCACTAGAACAACAAACCAATATTTAGTAATCATGGAGATGTCGTCCATCAACCTCAAAGAGGAAGTCAACAGATTTCTTCTACTTGAACTCATTTGAGGAATCTTGAGAGACATCTGACATGATTTTGTTGTTAATGTGGAATTTGAACTTCTTGTTCCTCTCATGAGAGCAACCTTTTAATATTTTAGGTATTTTAATGGGGGTGTTACGGTTAATTTAGGTATTTTATGTATGCAAGCTTGTGGCTCGGCTACATTCAGACTCATTCTACTAAGTTTGGTAGGCTTCAGTTTGGTAAGGCTTGCTCGATCGCCTATGCGTCGGCGTAGCCGGTCGGTTGATCTTATCTGACTTTAGATCTGTAGGACTGCTTTGGTCGGCCTGATGTTGTTGATCAACTAAGCTAGTCTGACTATTGATCCTTAATCCATGAATGAGGAGCTCATGTCGACAGAATGAAACTAGGCTATCGAGCAGAGGGTGAATCACTGTAATCTGATGGATTACTCATTTTTTGATGATGGGGTTCTTTGAGAAGTTTTAGGGTTATGTTATTGTCGATTCTTGGACCCTGATGAGAAACCTCAAAGGAGTCCAGGAGACTGCTTGTAATATTGAATTCTTGCCTTGAGTTGGGTTGCGATGATACGTAGGTCGATGTCTTTGCTCGGCTCGATCGACCTTAGTTCTTGGTTCAGGTGGTCAACGCTCGGTCGGTCTCCAGCCCTAGTTCATGGGAGTTGCATCTGGTCATATAAGTGATGCATTTGATCTTCTGTCAGTGAACCCTCATTTGATGCATTTCATGTCTTTTGGGCCGTTGGATCTTCTTGGGATTTGTGATGATGCATTCTTGATGTACATATATTAATAATTTTTATTGTGATGATGTATTTGACATATATTCATATCCTGTCTTTAATAATAGATATATCAGGTATACTTATCTTATGATATTTGATATGTTCATATCCATAATCGTGAACATAGAAGAGCATGTTTTTCAAGTTAGCATAGCATTAGCCTCATACTCACGAATGTTGACATGCCTGCTTAATTTGTCTTTCCACAGTCGTCATGCGTTGGCGAATGGCTACTCTGCGTGTAGTTTTTGGTAGTATATATCTTCAGATGCGTATTGCGATACGGGAAGATAGGAACTTGGAGCCAAATGAGGAGAAATTGGAATGCCCCTATTCCGATTACACCATCTCCGTCGGTTATTTTTCTCTCGAACCTCCCTCCTCTGGTTTAACCAAATGAAACTCTTCTCTCAGCAGCAGAAAAGTCGCCTCGTAGAAGCTAATCCTCTTGCTTGTCGCCTCGCTTCACGTTCAGTGATCCGATTTCGGGGCCTCGACATTGTCAGGTTCCTACAAGGCCTACTCACTAACGACATCCGCCCTCTTGTCGGCATCGACCAAGGCGGCGATTGGAACTCATCCTTTTCTTCATCATCAGCCTCGTACTTGTCGGCAACTAATTTGCCTTTCTATTCTCCGTCGTCGAGATATGCAGTGTTGCTCATTCCTCAGGGTAGGTTCTTTCATGATCTCTTACTTTACTGGCTGCCACTACCGGAGCAGAAGCTTGATAAGAGTTGGACCGGTCCAGGAATTTTGCTATATTTGAACAAGAATTTTGCTATACTTGATGATCTCTTATATTTGAACAAGAATTTTGCTATATTATCTTCATTATTTCTAAGTTTTCTCTTTTTCAAGATATGCATGCTATAGTGTTGTTGAATTCCACTATTTAAGTGCATGGAGTTCAAATTTGGTCTAAAAAATTTCACTTGTTAAAAGAGCAACACTTCCATGATAATTTTTGTGTGTATTTAATTGATTTTCAAAGAATCATTGGGGAGCTATCGAATTTCATCTATTTTTTTCTAATTTAGTGGGTGAAATCCATCCTTTTAGATAATTAGACAAACTTTGTTCTTATGATTTTGTGGACAATATATTTTCCTATGATAAGATTTTCATAGTTGATGTATTTCCTTAACCTACAATATTAATGAGGAGGAATTCGAATGTCAAGTACCTTTTGTTTTTAACCTTGTGCTCTTATTCATTGAGCTTTAGGTCACACCATTTAGCCACTTGATGGCCTATCAGACATATTTTTCAATTTGTTGTTCTTTTATAATTGCTTGTTAGGAATGGGGACAACATTATTCTTAATAAAAATAAATATTAGAACTTTGTGAGGTTTCTTAAAATTTTTAGAGGTTTTCTCAAAGAATATATCTGACTATTTAATTTTTTTTTCAATTCATTAATTTAGACCTTCCATTACTTATCCATTAGTTTAGCAGATCAAACTTAGGCCTCTGATGTGCCATTCTCCTAACTAACAGAAGGCTCATACTAAAATGAGTATTCAAACAAGGATTTAGTTAGATTATCTTCATTACTTCTCAAATTTTCTTTGTTTGGGACTCACTTGTTCTATTGTTGTATAGTTTCATTATTTAAGTGCATGGAGTTGTGAGATTTGGTTTAGACCATTTCTCCTTTTAGAAGAGCCGCACTAACATTATAAATTTTATTGTTTTTTATTTGAGTTGAAAGAATCAATGAGGAGGCATCAACTTCTAGTAGTATTTCGAATATCAGGGTTTCAATTCATCCTTTCCAAATTAAGTGATAAAATAGTTCCATGACCATTTATATTGGGTCATTTTGGGCACACATTTTATAAAAGTGTGAATTTCTTCCCTAGAATTTTTTAATAAGGGTTAAATTGTCTTCTGCAGGGACTATTTTAATTCATATTAAAGGACTGGGACTAAATTGATATTTTTATAAACTTTAGGACTAAAATGTCCCACCCTTGCAAAGAGTTGGGGACCATTTTAACACTGTTCTCTTTCCGAATAATTAGACGAGCTTCATTTCGATTTTTTTTTTCATGTGCAATTCATTTCTTTCTGATCAAAATTTTTGCTGCACTTTTATTTCTTGGAATAAAAGAATCAATAGTTTTCTTTCTATTTGGGCATATTTTTTTTATATGTTGTTCCTTTATAGTTGCTTGCTAGGTATGATGCCAACACTTTTTTTTAAATAAAAATAAATATTATAACTAATTGAGAATATCCTAAAGTTTTTAGAGTATCAAAAAAATATAAAATCAACTGGTTAATTTTTTATCTCATAATTTTGTAGATTAATATCAATGTCGGAGACCAAGATTAACAAATTCTAAATTGAAATTTCAATAATTTATATTCAATTAAAACATATTTCTATCTTTATAATGTAATTATTGGGACTAGGAATCTAACTTCTCATCCGAAAGTCTTTTGAAGAATTTGAAGCTGTATAACTGTAATTGTTGGAGATAGAAACATCAAGTAAACGTAGAATTAGCATACATCAATTATTTCATAAATTAACTAACAAAAAAATGATTACAAGAATTATGGCCCAATTGTTTTACAAAAGTTATATTGGCATTCTCTTGTTTTTACAGTTTTCCAAATAGAGAGTGATCATTCTTATAGTTGCTTTATTGTTATTGTAGATACAAGTTAAGGTCCAGAGTTGATATTGAGGATGTGAGTGAAGAGTTATATTGTTGGCAACGGTTTGGAGGAAAGCATTCTGAAATTGAACCGATTCAGGAGCCAGAGGCAGCTTCGGTTGGATGGGGAGGTGGTGTTGATCAATCTGGCATGTCGTCTGCTCATGGAAATGATGAGGGTTGGCAATGGTACAGAGATCCTCGGCTCGAATGTTTAGGTTTTCGAGGAATTTTTCCAACCAATACAATTCGTAAGACTTATGACCTAAGATTATTTCAAAGAGATTGTGTTTTATTTATTTATTTATTCTTTTGATAATTTGTTCTCCTTTTTGTTTAGCGCCACTGGTTGAGGCTGACAAGGAAGCTGATGAAAAACATTACCTCTTATGGAGAATAGAGAAAGGAGTTCCGGAAGGATCAACTGAAATTCCAAAGTGTATGCTTGTTACTTTTCATGCATATAGTTTCCAATCAAATTAAATCTCTGCTTTACTTATATATAATAAAGTTATACATCATATAATTTCCATTAATTTTCCACCATATTTTATTCTTTGCTTGGGTACATGACATCTGAGTGTACTCTAGAAGCACGTAGCAAGATTTCTTTAGTGATTTTGGTTGAAATGCTATTATTACAGTGAAAGAAGTAGAACAAAATCGAACATAAAGAAGGGAAGGAGGACGTGTATCTATGATAGAAACTTTAGGAAGGGTAGTAAAAGAGTTTTTTTTAATGCTTTCAGTTTAGTACTTCAAAAAAGAATGCTGCCCTTATTTTATGGTCAACAAACTTTTCATGAATGATGGGTATCTATGTTGATGTCTTGAGCTCACGTGAGTAATGTTTGAACCATTATTGATGATAGCAAATTTTGTGGTGCTTCTTAATTATTGGTTAAGCATTTCCTTTTAGGTACTATTTCATAGGAACCATCTGGATGATAACTGAGTTCACTTGACTATCTTGGCTGCTTTTGTAATTAGATGAGCTAAAGTGGACGAAATCAACATGCTTAAGGATGTCATGTGATTGTCTAGTGATTTTATTAAGAAATTTTCTACGGGTTGCTGGTTTGGTGTGTTTGTAATGTAAAGTAAATGGAATGTAAGGTTTTTTAAGATTTTGGCGTTTTTGTTGAATAATAAATGGAATATGTTATAAAATTTTGGTTAATTTTGAATTAATCTTGCACTTTATAACTGATGTATTTAGAAGTCACTAGATTTTGGTGATTGTCAAATACACTATATATTGCAGCTCTTGTTGGTACTACCAGTGGTTGCCCCATTGTTGGCCTCAGCCCATTGGCTGTCGCTCACCTCCACCGCCACCTGTTACTACACCGCTGACTACTGCTAATTGTTGCCTCCTTCCACTACAATCATCGTCCCTCTCCATCGCCGGCTGTCACCCCTCTCCACAGCCTCCCCCCTTTATTATCGTTGTCGTTGCCGCCATTGACAATCTTTACATTGATTTCATTTTTCATTGAACAAAATAAGAAAATATAGTCTTGAATTTATTTTATACTAAATCAAACAATCTGAAGTATTAAGATTATAATATAATACTTTTATTATACTTTCATTTTACGTTGCTGATACCAGGGTTAACTCAAACCACAACGGAAGGATATTTTTATTGTTGAAATTTGAAAGGTCTATTTCAAACAAAGACACTTGGAAATCAACAAAGACACTTGGAAATTGAAAAATGATGACAAAAACACAAATACCCCCTACGGCGAGGTTCGAAGGTGGCGGGTTGTAATGGGATAGTGGACTTGGAGAGCTGTAGGTGGTAGGTTTATCTAGTAGTAGCAGGGGGAAGAATGCCTTGTGGCTGGACAAGAAGGATAGGGTTAAGAAGGGTATGGTTGGTAGGGGCGGCAACAAGCGACAAGGGAATTGACAGGGGTGGCAGCAACCAACAAGTAGATTGGGAGGGTGGGAACAAGCAAGCAGCAGGGTTGGAAGGGAGTCAACGACAAGTGATAGGGGTTAAGCTCTTAGTAGTTTGATCTTGTAGGCATTGTTATTCAGCCTTTTGAGAATCCTGAAAGGATCATCTACCCTGGACTTGATCTTCCCGAAGGATCCCACTGGAAACCTTTCTTTTTTCAATCTGATCCAGATGACATCCTCTTCTTGGAAAGCCATCGTTTTCTAGTTTTATTTGCTTGGGCCTGGTACTTTCGATTCTGCTTGGTGATCTCCTTTCCCACCTCTTTGTGTAACCTCTGAAGCTCTTGCACTCTCTTCTTAGTATCCTCACTAATCTCTAATGTCAAAAGGAGTGGTTCCAAGTCAACTAAAGTGAGGGGGTTGCTCCCATACACGATCTCAAATGGGAGTATACCTTGTGGTCAGACTCACGGATATGTTGTAAGCAAAATTTAGCTTGTGCTAGAATTAGATCTCATTGCTTTATTTTTTTTTTTTCCCGCAAAGCACCGTAGAAGGCTCCTCAGACTTCTGTTCACCACCTTCATCTATGGATGAGTTGCTGAGCTGAATTGAAGCTTAGTGTCAAGCTTCCCCCATAGAACTCAGAAGTGACTCAAAAACTTGACATCTCTGTTGGAAGCCATGATCTTCGATATCCCGTGCAGTCTCACTACTTCACTGAAGTACAAGCCAGCTACATTAGTGCATCTATTGTCTGATAGCAAGGTAGTGCACCATCTTCAAGAATCTATTCACCACAACCACCACAAATCCTTGTTTTGTTGTGTCCTCATAAGAATCATCACAAAATTCATGCTAACATCCACTTACGGGGCCTTCGGTACTTGTAATGGAGTGTATACTTTTGTATTTAGCCTCTTGGTTTTGGCCAAATGACAAATTCTGCATTGCTTGATGTGCCACTCCACATCTCTGGTCAGTTGGAGCTAAAAGAAGTGGTTTCACATGAGTGCAAGTGTCTTATTTCTGTCAAATTGTACTGTAGGTCCTTTGTTGTGACTTTCCTGAATAATGGACTCTCTCAAGAAACACCAAGGAATACACAGTCTATTCTGGTGGAACATATAACCATCAGCTTTGTGATACTGTTTGGTAGGCTTCTCCTGATACTGCTCCTAAATCTTTCTAAAATCTTCGTCTGTTGTGTACAACTTCTTCACTACATCAAATCCTACGATCGAGTTTGCATAAAAGTGATCAAATGATAGTGGCTCTGTGCAGCTCCTACTCAATTCTGGCTTTTTATCCCGTGCTTAAACACGAACTGGAACGATTTCAAGAACTCCAACCAGGACGCATATCGAACCTTCAATTTGTTCTGGTTGTTCAAGAACCTTGAAGCCCCATGATCGGTAAATAAGGTGAACTCGGTCGATAGCAAGTAGTGACCCCGGTGATTAAGAGCTCTCCTAATCGCATAGAACTCTGTCGTACGTAGAATATTTTTTTCTGGACTCATTCAACTTTTCATTGAAGAAGGTTATGGGTTGACCATTGCTCAATACTCCTTTGATCCTCATATTTGAGGCGTTACACTCCCCCTCGAACAACTAATTGAAGTCTGGTAATACCAATACTTGTGCCTGAGTCACCTTCTTCAGGGTATCAAAATTGGACTGAGTTGCATCCGTACATTGGGACTTCACTTTTTTAAAAATTTATTGAGGGGAGCTATGTTGGTATTGAAACTCTTGATGTATCGCCTATAGGTTGAAGCCAATCTCAAAAACTGTCTCAACTTGATAAAAGACTTTTGGGGCGTCCAACTTACGATGGTCTCGACCATTGCAAGATTCATCTGAATGCCTACACCAGAAATAATTTAACCCAAAAAACATACATGTGCTGCAGGAAGTGACACTTATTTGGCTGGGCATATAGTTTCTTTGGTCGCAAAGTCACGAATACCGTTCTCAGGTGTTGCAAGTGCTCCTCCTCAGATCTGTTGTATGTAAGAATATCATCAAAGTATACTACTACAAACTTCTGTATGCGAGTCTGAATTACTTGATTGATCAACCTCATGAAAGTGTTTGGTGCATTAGACAGCCTGGAAGGTGGAACATCCACTCATATAGTCCATCTCGGGTTTTGAAAGTAGTCTTCAACTCGTCCCCTGGTCTTATCTTGATCTGGTGATATCCACAGTGTAATTTTATCTTGGAAAAGACAATGGCGCCATGCAACTAATCTAAAGGGTCATCCATGCAAGGTATGAGGAACTTGTATTTGATGGTGATCTTGTTGATGATTCAATTATCATGCACATCCCCCTTGTTCCATCCTTAGCCACCATCAAGGCAGGGACCACACACGGGTTGGTATTCTTTCTGAATAAACCTCTCGTAACGAGACCTTATACTTGTAAGTGTAATTCCTCATTCTATGCAGGTCTTAATATGCAGACAGACCTGTTTGGCAACATTGATTCGAGGATGAGATCTATGGCATGCTAAATGTCCCTTAATTGTGGTAATCTCTCTGGAAAGTTGTCAGTTATCATATTCTGAAAACAAAATAGCAGTGTTTGTATGGTATCTCAACCCCCTCCTTAGTTCTCTTTAACATGACTAAAGCCATAGCCACTGGAGCCTCTCGTACCGACTTCATAAAGGTGGCTTGTGGGACCACCGCTTCCTCTATGATGTCTACTCCTCTCGCATCTTTGATGGCAAAAGTACTATGCTTCTTCCATTATTCTTGAATGAATAAGTGTTCTTGAACTGTCTTGCTGGGCCTTGCGATTGAACTGTCATGTCCTCCCCAACAAAATATGACAAACATTCATTGGCACCACATTGCACCATATCGGCTCATGCAGCTGACCTCCAATAGAAAACTCAATCAAGCACCGTTGATCCTCACGCATCTCATTTGTCCTTTCCAAACAGGTAAGGTAGTAGGATTGAGGATGCTTCTGCATGGCCAACTCCAGTTTTTTACCATCAGAGTGGATACTACTTTCTCACAACTCCCATCATCAATAATCAGGCTGCAGACTTTTCCTTCCACGGTACACTTATTACGAAAAATTTTATGTCTTAACCATGAATAATCCTTCTCTGGTTTAGTCCGTAGGACCCTTTTTACTACTAGCATTTCTCTCTCTTCTCTCTGGAGTTGAAGTTCCTCCTTCTGACCCTTTGCTTCCTCCTCACTCACTTCCTCAATGACACCCTGCTCAGTGAAAGAAACAATGCAACTTGTAAGACAGTTGGAGGTCATCCATATCCGTGACATCTAATACATCACCTGACAAGCATTGTACTAGGCGTTTTTCTTTTTTTGGGATTCTTTCCACTCAGATTTGCCTTTCACTTCCCTGTCCAATCTTCCCAACTCCTCTACATGTACCCTTGTTGGAAGCTGCAGTTGTATGTTGTCTGAATGAGGGTGGTCGTCTACTTTGTTTCTTTTCACTTCACCTTCAAGGTTAATGTCTGGACATCTCCCTGTGACCAATAGGGCTACAGTTGAATCATGTTACTGATAGCTAGCTTCAGGCCACCCAAATATCTGGCTATTATATGTTCCTCTGATTAGACCGGTTCACATTTCATCTGAACTTGCTCAAGCTGTGCCATGAACTCCTCCATTGATAGGTCTCTATGTTGTAGGTGATGGAGTCTCCAAAACTTATTCTGATGGTAGTGAGGAGGTAAGTGTTTCTTCTGTATCTCCTTCCTTCTGTTCTCTTCCATCTTGTAATCTTGTCACTTCTCTCTTTCTCTGCCTCTATAAATTTTCCCACCACAAAGAAGTAATTTGATGGCTATGAGCTTCACTCTTATATCTTTTGGCACCTTTTTTACTTGAAGATATTCTTAATTGACTGTAACCATTTGATGAAATCATTTAGAGCCATCCCTCCTTCGAATTCCAGTAGATCCACTTCCACTTCGAAATTCTATGTCCTTCAAATGCCGGCTTCTCTTTCGTCCTTCTCTGTTAATGAATTCTGAAGCTTTGGGGCTGGTTATATTCATCATTGAATCTTCCTTATGGAAGGGGTTCTCATTCTCATCTCCTCTTCGACTCTCTACATCTCGATTAATGTAAATTCTCCAGGGTCCCATCATCAATCTCCGCAAGCCTTCGCTGAAGTCGACGAATTTCTCGCTATATCTCTTCCCGAGTAAGTTCCGACATGTTTCTCCTTGGTGGCTTGATCAGAGTTTGGTTATGTGGGAGTGGAAGAGGCTAGTGAAATTGGGGAACAAAATTTTTTTTGAAGTTATAGGGGAGAAAACTAGGGTTAGACTAGCTCTGATACCAAATGACACCGGAGTTAACTCAAACCATGATGAACAGATAATATTATTACTAAAATTCAAAATAACTATTAGAAACAAAGACACTTGGAAATAGAAAAACAACACAATCACAAATACCCCTAGGCGATTTTCGAAGGTGGTGGGCTGCGTGTCAAGGTAGTGGAAATGGAGAGTTGCAGGTGGTAGGGTGATCTAGCGACAGTGAGCAGAAGATTGCCCTGCAATTGGACAACAAGTAAGGGAGGATTTGGTAGAGGAGGAAGCAAGCGACAAGGGGATTGGTAGGGATGGTAGCAAGCAACAGTTGGATTGTGAGGGCGGCGACAAGCAGCAAGTGGATTTTGAGGGCAGCAACAGACAAGCATGAGGGAAGGAAGGGGGTTGATGACAAGTGACAGAGGTTTGGAAGGGGCGAGAGCAGATAGGTGTTTCGCTGGAGGTTGCGACAACAAATAGGGGGAGCGGGCAAGATAGGAATGCGAGGAGATAATCATCACCATGGGCAGGATACATCTGAAACACTTGTCCTCCGATTCATCCCTAGCAAGGGATAAGTATGTTGATGATAGAAAAATAGAAGTAAAAAAGCTGTCTTAACACACAACAAATAACTTATATATAGACCTAGGGTAAATGTGAGTAGGCCCCACTCCAAATAGGAGGGAACTAACACAATGAAAAGCTGCTCGGTCCTTCTCCCAACTGCATCGAGCCGGTCGGTGTGAGGAACTTGCCACCCCTGCACGGATAGAGGTGCCCACACGTCAATTGTATTCTTTTTTCTGCAAATCATAAAGCCCCTTATTATAAATTGTTTTAGTAGGAGTTATCAAAGGCCTCAAAGTTGATGGATATAAGTGAAGTTAATTTATATTTTGAGTAAAATTTTTTTCAATATAGTTTTCTATTTTTTCTATATTTATTTATGATTTTTGAGAGTTTATTTGGATTTATTGTCTATTGTTCTATTACATTGTTATTTAGCATTTGCATAAACTACAATAATTAGTACAAATGTATGAACATTTAATCATCCTAAAATTGATTAATTATGTTACAAAAAATCATATGAGCATAAGTTTTATAATTATATCATTAAATTAGTTATTTTCATGCTAACTTGTTTCATTATATTAATTAATGATGGGTGCTGCGACTTGCGGGCTTCAGACGGGTTGAAAGGACTTACCTGGATGAGTAGAACTCATTGGGAGCAAGATGAAGGCTACGAGCGACTTGTCGGCCTGGAGGAAAATAGGAGGCAGTGCTTCTTTAGCTTATTGGTTGAATAAACGAAGGTGATATAGTTTGATGAGAAGTGGATTTTTAAATGTTACATAAAAAATAGTGGATAGAAAATTTTAAGAGTTATATGAATAAATAGGAAAAATATAAAAAAAATCATCGAAGGGGCAAGCACATTCATGTGCGATATATGTTAAAAAATATTATTGAGTTGGTATATGTAAGATTGAAGATCAAAATACAAATATATTAAATCATTTGGTAGCTGTCGCTTGTATTTTCTTATTTGGCTGTTAGGTGTGTAAACTTTAGTTTATGGGGATGATGTTATGAAACTTTTCTTTAATCTAAATATCCTTAGCCGTGGAGCCTGATATGGGTGGTTTTTTTATGTTAAGGGAAATTAGTTATTATTAGTTCTTATGTAAGTAGAGTGGTTTTATAGTCTCTCTATTTTTCCTTTTATGCTCTCTTTTTCTTTGTTTTTGCATTAGTTGAAATTCTTTTGTTGTATAGCGTATTGTCATACACCGCCATCTCAAGAGGGTTAGCCATATCCCTTCAACCATGGGAAAAAAAGATTTTACAGAAGACCAGAAAGAAGGAGATCAACCTAAGACTAGGGTTGTAAATGAACCACTGCACTTGATGAATAACTCGAACTCAACTCATTTAATACTCCATCATGTTTGTTCAAATTAGTAAATAACTTTGAATATTTTTTAAAAACTATTTGAACATAGTTCAATTCATTAGTTAATGCTCATAAATAAATTTGTTTGTTGTTCAACGAGTAATTTGTTAAATTTTCTATATTTATATGAAATATTATTTAAATAAAATTATATTAATTAAAACTTATTTTATAATATATTTAATAATTACATCATAATTTAATATCAATACACAAATTCAAAGAAAGTTTATTTTATTATTTTATTTTTTAATTTTAATAAACTAGTTCTATAGTACTTATTCATGTAATTTATTGCAAAAAAAAACTTATATATTATTTTATTTACTTGGCGTTAACTAGTTAGATGCTAATTAAAATCTTTTCAATTGCTTATTTATTTTGATTTGCATGATCATTTGTTAATAACTTTATATAAAAATCAAATACTCGTTTAAATTTTTAGCTTGTTTACTAATTTATATGAAAATTTATGTACAAATCATATGTTTAATTTTATATAAAAAATCAAGCACTCATTTGAATTTTTAGTTTTTTAATTAATATAAACAAGCTAAATACAAATCAAGTGTGGACATTAAAAATTTTAAGCAAGCCAAGTATAAATTTATTTTTGAGGCTTATCTCAACCTTGAACTGAACTTGAACAACTTGTGATTCGACCAAACCAAGTTTAGACTATGACACTTGACTCGACTCGGCTCGATTACAGTTCTACCTTAGACTCCTGAAGATTCCACCACATTCCAAAGAATGTTTAAAGGGGAAAGCTTAAAGAGAAACTCTAGTAGTCTGGAAAGTTCTAGAATAATGTGTGTAGGAATGATGTAAAATCATTTAGAAACTAAAATATTCTATTAATATCTAGAAAGTTTTCTAGGTCTTGAGGGAGTACTATAAATAGAAGTTCTTTCCCCTTTATTTGGAAGGCCTAATTTCCCAAGCAACCAAATGTATAAAGTTTTCATTCCTTAGTGAAGTGTTAAACTACGAGTTCTCGGTGCAAGTTTACTAGTGTGTGCTTTGTCATTATGATGAAATTGCATCATTTGTAGAGCACATTAAACAAGTGAAAGAAGAAAACGATGATGCTAAGCACTTACATTATAGATAGGACTACAAACGAACTGAGCCGATTTGGGTAGGATTGTGTTCAAAATTGAGCTTATCTATAAAATTTGAACTCGAAGATGAGCGAGCTCAATTTATTTATCATTCTAATTGCTTGAGCTCAATTTATGTTTGTTTCATATTGTGATAATTGAGTCATTATATATATGAAATGATGCGTGATGGTGCCAGACAGCCTTGGTGCTTAGGACATATAGCTTTGAAGTATTTTCACAAATGCCTATGTTATTCAAGTCATCTTATGTCTTTTCAACATTAGTCATTTTAATATTTTGTGCAATGCATATTATACTATATATTAAATGAAAAAGAGCGAGAATTTTTCCCTCTCAAGTATTAAAGCTTTAAGAGAAAAAGAAAGGCCAAATTGAATCAAGACGTTACGCCAGTGCCTAAGAGCAATTTTGTCTTTATTAGTCCAAGGACAATTTAGTCTTTTGTTGTTTATTATCATTTAGTATAAATAAGACTAATATGTTTAGGGTTATGCATGAGATAGTGGTTGAGTTTACGGTTTGAGAGGGATTTCCTAGCTCTTAAATATATGATTTGGAAGAGATCACCAATCTCTCAATTTATATGTGCATATCCTTTATGTATTCATGTGAGATGTTTGGTATTGTATTACTTTGATTTGAGAAGATTAATATTTCTATTCAAGTTATGACCTCTTTGGAAACGCAATTACACAACACGATAAGAATGTGAACCACTCAACATTACTGTGTGTGATGTGATATATATATATATAATGCAACTACACAACACAAAAATAATGTGAACCACTCAACATTGCTATGTTTGATTATATTTAGTTTAAGCACAAATAAACTACTAAACAATTATAGTATACATACCCCTTCTTTTTCCATCAGGTGAGGCTATACCCCTTGAATACAATCTGGAAGGGTTGAATGCCATCTCCTTCAACAAGGGGTGCTACGTTGGCCAAGAGCTTGTCGCTCGAACGCATCACCGTGGTGTCATCCGCAAGCGCTTGCTTCCATTGATATTCACTGACGATGCTGGCCACGGTATGGTTATTAACTCGGTCCATCATAAAGGTTTAGTTGTGAAATATGTAAATACATAAAAAAATTGTGTGCTACTTGTATGTAAATTTTCATCCTTCAATCTGCTTTTTTTGTAAAATTATGTGCAGAGTTAGCTCAACAGGTTTCTGCAGGCTCCGAAGTGGTATATAAAGATAATAACAGGAAGGTTGGGACAGTCAATACTGCTATGGGAAGCCGAGGAATGGGATTATTGAAATTAGAAGCAATTCTAAAGCAGCCATCAGCTCTGGCTATAAAAGATAGAAGAGATGTGAGGGTAAAGGCTTATAGGCCTGAGTGGTGGCCTGCAGAATGGACGCAGTTGGATGAACGGCAGAGTGTGGCAGATTGAGATGAAGATTGTTGTAGCTTTGTTCTGCTGACTTGAAGTTAAAAGCAAAGATTTGAAAGGCATACATTAGATTGAGAGCTTTTAACTGTAAACCAAATGGTCTTGAATTCAAGGACTTAGTGTATTCGATGGCGTAATTTGCGAGAAATTATTCCATACGGAGTACTTACGCAGCTATACGTGCAGACTCCAATAATAAACTCCACAGTTCCGCTTTAATTTTTTTTTAGTTGGGCCCAATATAACACAGATGTCGGCATATTACTGGAGTTCACACGTAGAGCTGCATACGTACTCCGTATGAAATACTTTCACGTAATTTGCAATTAGATTTTGCTCAAATGTTAGTTTATTTCCATAAATTATAATTTGGTTATTGATTTAGAATTAGTCACATCTTTTTGTAATAATGTTTAGAAACGTTTAATATGTTTTAATGTTATAGCTGGTGAAGGATTATTTTCTTATTTTTATTTTTCTTATATTTTTGAGATGGATGAGCAGTATCTGGATGCTTATGTATCAGTGCTCAAACATAAATGAAAACATGCTGATCACATTTTTAAAATACGATTAATTAATTATTAAGGCCACTTTATTCAAAAACTTAATCAGGTCAATGAAATATTAGTGAATTCTAATAAGAAAACAATGAATAATTATGATGATAAATTTATTGATAAATCAGATAAAATTTATATTTTATGATAATTAATCTTATAAAGAATAAATTAATATCTATGGTATGGTCTACTTTGCTTGGATGTAATTATTAACAATAGTAATATGCTAATTAATTAGATAGATATATAACTAATTCATTAACTCATTAACTAAACCATTAGTTTGTGTAAAATATAAATTATTTTGGCTACTGTTAAATTATCTTTTTGTTGCTTTGTTGCTTTGATAAGCTTGAAGTTCCTCAATAGGATGATCAAATGGCTGAAAGTGAAACGAAACTGTTAAAATACTTGGACCAATTCTTATTAAAATAAATTGCAACGTTTTTAAATTTATTTTAAATTAAGTATAATACTTCTTCATCAATTGTTGATGTGTACTCCTTGTTGGAGCAATCTGAGCAGTTCCAAGCTAAAGAAATGGAAGAAGGAGAATAGAAAAAGAAAAGAAGATAATTATATACAAATCACCAGATATTGATATTTATAAATTAACTAATCAGGTAAATATTTTGAACTACCAGATCAATATATTTACACGTGCCACAATCAAAATATTAAAAATTTTTTATAAAAATGAAAAAATATGGACCATGAATTTTGATGGTTGAGTGAATTTTAAAAACAGATGAAAGAGGGTGGTTGATTTGTAAATAGCAATTTTCGAGTGGTTTGTATGTAATTACGCCCCAAAAAAATAAATAAAAATTGAATGGGAACATTTATTTCAGAAGACTCACAACAATAAAGTGATAGTTTAACATTATGGTATTTTATGAATATCCAACACAAACAAACACACACTGATAATAAACTAACACGTGAAGATACCACAACTCTTTGTATGGAAAAACCAGGAAAGGGAAAAAAACATGGGGGCGTAGCCCAGTAAAAAACAAAAAATTAATTTAAGTATGCAGTTACAAAGATATACACTTGCCTTGCAAATATAAAAGAAACTTTACAATGCTACACCAAGTGCAATAGCTGTACGTGTATAATGTAAGAAAAATATTTTTGGGGTCCGAAGAAAGTCATTGTATTCTGAGTACAGTTATTGTATGTATTCATTGAAAGTTATCACCGAATTTGTAATGCGACTTTATACGTTACACCGTATTTGTATACTTTGTTACATCATATTCATGATATTTCATTGCACATAATTCAAGAACATGTTGTTGCACAATAGAGTTATTGATGATGGTGAGCACGAGTGGTTGGTGGTGGTCTCAGGTGGTTGACGACTGATGGTAAGGGTTGTGTGGTGGTTACGGAGGCCAGAAGTAATTGTTGGGTCTTCAGTCTATTGTGTCCTTTGGTGAATAACTTCCCGGAGCACCCTATCAGACAACTTATATTGATCCCTTCTTATCATAGAGATTTTTTGATACTTTAAGGACCTTAATTATCTCAGAATTTAAGGAGCTTAGACTCATTGGATTCCTCTCGTCAAGTGCTCAATTGGACTGTAAGTATGTCAAATTTGAAGTTCATTTGCACATTCAAGTGGTGATCTAAAGTCTATAAATAAACATTAATGTCTTGATTTAGACTTAATTGTACTTGAGTCCGACTAATTGTGGTATCCTTCGGTTCATCTTGTCAAGACAGTTAGTTTGACCATAAATTTGCTGAAATCAGAGCCCTGGATGATCTTTAATTTGAATTGGAATGTTTCTTACTTGGAAAATTGCCTTGAGATTCCAAATGATAAAACTTCTTGATGACGCATTAGTTGCCTCATACTTTTGGGTGATGTTATTTGTTCGACTGAAAATAAATAATCTAAATTTACACTTTGAGGTGTCTTAGGTACTTATTGGACTTCTGATCGGGTTTTTTTTCATGGATGTCAATGAAAAGAAAATAATCGCCTAAACATGTCGGTGGTGGTTAGACAACATTATTTCTACGGTGACAGTGGCCACAGGGATGTAGTAAATGTTTAGAGGAATAAGCATGTCTATACGGTCTTATGTTTCTGTTCCTAAAATAAAAAGAGTATAATTATACATCAAGATTGCAGTAGAGTCCAAAAATGAGTCAAGACCCAATCATGAACGTAATGTTGCATATGGAAATGAGTTAGTGAGCGAACAAGTATAAACAAACTTGCGCGAGCATTCACACGTGATTTGTGTGCATGAGTGCGTGGTTGTTCCACATGGTAAGCAGCATGAGTAATTACCCAGGCCAGTGACTAGGTTAGGTCAGGTCGGATGTGGGTTGCGGGCGATTGCATGAGCTATTGATCGGGTTGGGTCAGTTTGGTCATGGCGGTGGGGAGCGGAGAAAGATCTTACAGCATGGGAGCGGGCTCAGGCGTCGTGTGACATGGATCGGAGGAGCAGATCATAGAAAAATGCAGAGTGGAGGAATAAATTATGGGACAACACACGTGTTTGCACAATCACTTGTGTGCGAGTGTGCATGTGCCCGCAAACAATTATGGGGAAAAATTATTTAAAATTTTCATCTTTTGGCTTCAAAATTCTAATTTTTAGTCTATAAAAAGGGCCTTAGAGAAAGGGAAGAAGGCACTCCACCTCTCCTTAAGTTGGAGTCTTCTGGGCTTATGTTGCCCCTCCCCTCTTAGTCTAGTGTTGCCTTATCCCCTGGGCTAATATTGCCCCATCTTCTGAGCTTATGTTGCCCCATTTTCTTAGCTAATGTTGTTCAATATAATGGTAAGTGTTGCCCCATTTCTTGGGCTGGTGGTGGACCATCTCTTGGGCTGGTGTTGCTCCTCCATATTTAGGTTGATGTTATCTTATCTCTTGGACTAGTGTTTCCTCATTTTCTGGGCCGGTGTTGCCCCATCTTCTCAGCTAGTATTATCCCTTATATTAGGCTGGTGTTGTATTTATTGAGGCATTTTATGCATAATTATTCTTTGAGATCTCAATCTGTAGGGAATCCTGATCGCTCTAAAAATCATATAAAGTATAAAAATTCTGAGAAGTCAATATTGACGGTTACAAAAGATGGCCTGATATTGTTTTGTAAAAAATCCACTTTCTAAATGACATGGTGGTGAAATTACTAGATCTGATTAATATAGCATATTCACATTCTTTTGAATACGTTGTAATTTAGGAGTCATAACTGTGAGTTGGCCTACGATTTTCATCAATGCTTAAGTTCATGCATATTTTAAATGATATTCAAGTTAGTGTTTCACAAGTTTCTTGTCGGATGATAATGATCATTATCAAGTTGATCACCCTCTTCAGAATGATTGGGGATTGGCGGGTTTGTTAGCAATACTCAAAACCTTTTTTCCCTTAAAAGTATGGTGTTAAATCTTCAAAAAAAAGGAACCGATAAGATATCAGTTCATAAAAATAAAAAAAAAAATTTGTGAAGAATGATTGGGGATTTCATGAAAATAGGAGATACTGCATCAATTTCCTATTTCTCTTTGGATCATAATGGAAGACATACTATGAATGTTTAGATTTCATGACCTCAAAGATCTACAGTTTAAGGTATGATTCATCAAAAACTACATGAGCAAGAAATTTTTGTTCAGAATAAGTGTTTTCATCCATCCTCGACAGTCTTTTGCTACGATGCTAAAGAAATCCTAGAAGAAATGCTCTAAACCAACTTCAATTGCATCTTTGAAGCAACTATTTTAGGATAATGATTATGAGATCCCTCCAAACCAAAGTAAAAAGAGTGAAGGAACAAAAAAAATCCCCTGATCAGTCCTTCAAAGATCCATATTTCGGAGAATGTAGTGAATCACTCATGCGTTAGGTACCTGCAAGATGAAGAATATATGAGTCTCTTTTGCATATGCCAATCTCCTTTATTTTATGTTCCTTCTATCTATTTGATATGAAATTGTTTGTTTTATTGGCAAAAGAGACAAAATTAGAAGCGATGTTCAATCTTTTCTTGATATAGCAGAATTTAAAATTTTTCAAGACCAAATTCTTCTTGGGCGAGTGTAAGCAAATATAGGATTCCAAAGCTAGAGAAGTTGCGGCGTTAGAGAATCAACTGATGGAGTGTGAAACCCAAATGTCCACGATGGTAACTTCCTATTGTTGCAACATCAATAGCTCGATAGTACTCAAGACGAGCTAGTGGAGGAACGATCTAACCTTAGTTTGAGTACCGATAACATGAAGGTTTGAGATTGAATGTGTCAGCACTTGAGGGGAAGAACAAATGATTGAAGTTTGAGAAGGAAGTTGATCTCATTGGAGTTGGTGCAAAGGTTGAGGAGCACTTCAAAGGCTTGAATGAGTTCAAGAGTATCATTCAGAATTATGCTTAGAAGGCTCATAATCACAAATATGATGTTGAAGTGAAGTAACTAGATCAAGAATATATCAAGGTGAGATTTATATGAGGCTTCATAAAGGAGGCTTACCGTGGTGCAACGATGCATTGGAGTTGATATTGAGGAAATTACTCCTAAGTAGGCCTTTGAAGATCCCCCTTTATGCTTAAGAAGTGAAAAAGTTGAGAATGACTAATAGGAGCATTTCCCTGATGGCTAGGAGGACATTATAATGGATAAATACTTTGTGTTTGTTAGATTTTATTTCACTTGATGTAGTATTTACACTTTGTGATAGTATGTTTGTTTTTAAAGATCTTCTTTTGCTTGATGTAGTATTTACAATTTGTCATTGTTTGTTTGTTTATACAACTCTTATTTATTCAATGTAGCTTTTGCACTTTTGATAGTGCATATCTTTTACATTACACTTTCTGAATGTTATTTCATTCTTTATGTCACAAT